ATTTACATGACTTCAAAATAGACAATAACTCTATGCCTACTGCCATCCAAAACATACAATTGAAAATAAGAACTTCCTTGAAAATAAGAACTTCCATAAAGCACGGAGCTCCAACCACCAGCCGCGATCATTAAACCGCATGTCCTCCACCCGTGGCTATCGCTCTACATAGATGAAGATAAAAGAGTGAGTTGTAAAGCTCAGTAAATAGATCAAGTTGTCATGCCTTACTGCCTATGAACATTCTCTCATAACAATACTCAGGGTGTTATGCAATTCTTATAAAACATGAGCTATGTATCAAAATCATCTTCACCAGTATGTAGTGCATAATTCATAGTAAAGCAATGACAAATCAAATCAATCATCTATGATACAAAGCAGAGGTCAATTTAGTCATTCAATCATACAAGCCTTAACAGATCGACTTATTTAGGAAGTAACAACAATTGTCAACTAACTCAGTCCCTAGTTCCCTTACTCCTGAAGTTGAAGCCCTATCTATCAAGCCAAGCCAAGCCAATCCCATTGCTTAGGACTTCTACCATCACTTAGTAGGGAAAACAATACCAAATGTGTGACCCATTTCGTAATTCCTGCATACACACACACACACAGTCCTCAACGTGCTTTGGAGCTTTTGATAAGCGGAGGCCTTGCAAGACACGACCCTCAATTGTTCTTTAGCTGGAAGACGTTACACCACCAACGGACGACCCATTGCATAGTGCCCTACACACTTCTTAGGGCGTGCGACCCTCCTATGTGGCTCACATCCTAACTCCCTTCTTATCATCGGGAGTCAGGGAAAGATCTCAATGGCTGGCACAATTTTCACATCATATCACATTACACTACCAACAAATGATCCGTTGTGTAGTACCTCATATATTTCTTATCATATCCTATCACACTACCAATGGATGACCCATTGCGTAGTGCTTCATATCACATATGTGGCATGTCTTATTACAACCATGCAAATTCATCATTTCATAGTAGAGTAGAAGTTCTTTTCATCAATTTATTTCATAACAGAGAATGTCTTATGATAACAAAATAGATCATCACAAAGCATAATTTCGGCACCCGTCTCATCGAGGTCCCTAGCTCAAAAGGCATAATCAGGTTATTTTTCTGATGTTTCACAGTAAACATAGTCCACCTTTAGGGGTGTAACATAAAATTCAGAAGTCATTTAAAATTCAGAAGTCATTTAGACCCAAACCACTTTCATAACAATCTCGGCTCATGAAAAAATGATTTTTCTTGAAGGGGGTGACCCCAAATTTTGGCCGAAAACTTATTAAACTATTTGATATTCTTTGAGTATACATGTTTTTACAACAAGAATTCCAGTGTGACATTCTCATAGAATGATGGGTAGAACTTTCCAATTACAGAAAATTTTATCATAGTTCCAAAACCATTTTTAAAATGGACTTATTTATCTTTTGTTTAGAAGTAGTTTGAACCCATTCTGATATATTTTGGTCGGTGAATAGCTTCATGCAAAAATACATAAAGTTCTTGGAAATTCATTTCATAATCCTGACATACTTTTGAAAATGACATATAACTTTCAAACCAAAAGAGATATTGACTTTTCCACATTAAAATAGATTCAAATGGTTACTTTCTCACAAAATTTCGTGATCAACAGAGATGTTTTCTATTCTCAATCGATCACACAAATGGGAGTCACAGTTCTGAAAAATTCCTGTCTTCTCAGCATAAATTTCCAGTGTGATATTCTCATAGAAAAATGAGCATAACTTCCAATCCACATGGAATTTTATCACGGTTCCAAAACTATGTTTAGAATATATTCACTTATATTTCATTTAGAAGTAGTTTGACTCCATTATGATATATTTTAGTTAGTGAACAGCTTCATACGAAAACATATAAAGTTCTTGGAAATTCATTTCACAATATGACATACTTTCGAAAATGGCTCCTAACTTTCAAACCAAAAGAGATATTGACAAGAGGTCTTTTCCATCTTAAAATAGATTCAAAGGTGTACTTTTTCACATTTCGTGATCAACATAGATGTTTTCAATACTCAATCAATCACACAAATAAGAGTAACAGTTTTGGAAAATAGGGCATATTTTAGCAAGATTTTCGATAGCATACATCCACATCCATATTCACAATCACATTCATATTCATGCATGAATTTCATACTTGATGAACTAAATAAACATGCATCAAATAAAATTATGGAACCATAGAAGCTTGATCTACTTACTTGTACCAAAAGAGACTCCAAGGTTCCTCACACAATTTCCCTTCAAAACGCCATGCTCCAAGGGTGCTTCAAAACGCCATGCTTAAGTCTAGAGAGGAGGATGTGGGTGAGAGAGGGCAACTCATGGAGACGTGTGAATGGGGGGTATTAATAAGCAAAAGAGAGGGGCTGGCAGCATGCAGCTGACAATTGGCATACAAGGGGCATGCATGTGCCACATGGTACACACGAGGCATGCAAGCAATCATGAGAGAGAGAAGTTCCCCTGGACTATCGCTCTCGACAGCATCGTGCTCGGAGGCTTCTATGTTCTGCAGTGTCGCACGATGGGTAATGTGCTCAGTAGTGTGGCACGCTCAGCAGCGTCACGCTTGACGGCTTCCATATTCGGCAGCATTGCGTGCTCAGCATCGTGCTCAAGAGTGTCGCGCGTTCTGCAGCTTTTGCAAGCCAGATCACCCTTGTTGACGACTCGCCGGTGTACTACCAAATGCCGAAAAAGTCTGAGTCCTTATATGGAGGAGATCAAAAAGCGTTGAAGAGCCAAGATTGCTGCGGAAGAAAGGGTGGAGTCTATTTGAGAATCTGGCAGAAAACCAGTGAAATGTTTTGATGCAACTCCGCCGGGCAAAGGTACTATTTCAGCTAAACATAAAAAGGTTTATCATAGGGGTGTCCGGTCGTCTGCTAGATTGGAGGAATGCGGTATCCCGAAATGTGGTTTTTCTGATGCTGTAATTGCTTTCCATGACCCTGTGTACTCATCTTCGTCAACCTCCTCTTCTTCTAGAGATGACGAGCTCAACAAGGCTGTGCTGTTGGAGGAGGTGTACTTCAGTGGTGATCTTTTTGAACCAGGTTCTTCCTCTTATCCCTCCCCTCCTTGTTTTTAATTAATTTCTTATCAAGGATCTAGGTGACCCCAGGAGGAAAATGGATGTTCTTTTTTTGGTATCTAAGTATAAACCAGTGATTTTGGCTTTACAACTGACCAAACTTCTTAGGCCTAATATCTTTGGGGCGAGTGCAGTTAGGGGTTCAGTTGCCGTTAGTTTTTGTGGGATTGATGTAGTTGGTAATTCTGATGGGATATGGGTCATTTGGGATCCTTTGGTTATTCAAAACTTTGAGACTTTTATTAAAGAGAGATTTTTGTTGTTAGGTTTTAATGGTCCTAATTTGGGTTTCTCTTGGGGCTTTATGAATGTTTATGGGCCTACTGTCTCTGCTCTTAAAGTAGGTTTTATTAATGATATGAATGTTGTTATTCAGTCTGTCTCTTATCATGTGGTGGTTGGGGGAATTTTAACCTTATTCAGTGGCCTGATGAATGCTTAGTAGGAATTCCTATTAATACATCGATGAGAATGTTCAATAGTTTCATTCAAAACAATGTATTTTTGGATCCTCCTATTATTGGCTCCAAGTTTACCTGGACCAATAATAGTGTAGTTAATCTTTCAATGTCCAAGCTGGATAGATTCCTGATCTTTATGGATTGAGTAGATGTTTTCCCTTTAGTCTTTGTTAAATCGTTGGCTAGATTATCTTCTGACCATCTCCCTATTTTACTAAGTACGGGGTCCTTAAGAGGTGGGCCGAAACCTTTCAGATTAGAGGTGAGTTGGTTGGAGGAGAAAGAGGTTCTTGATCTCATTGTTTTAACGTATTTTTCTGTACCTTAGTCCTTTATGTGCAATAAAGAAGGAAGCAGGTCAATAAAGCCTACAAAATAAGTGGAAATTTTGACAGTCTCATAATTGCCCTAGAATTGGTCAAGATCTTCATCATCACTCCAGAAGACCAACTGTCAAGTTTCATCGCGATCAGACATGTCTAAAGCAGTGAACACAAGGAAACAATTTCAGAAAAATCGGCCTCTCGCACCTTGAAATGGATCCGATAACTAGAACTATACTTATGATGCATCAAACAGCGGTGGAACCACCACCAATGAATCCGGTAAGGTTGAAAACCCCTATGAGTCAAGTTTCGGCTTAATCGGACACTTCAAGACAAAGTTAGGGGTAAAATACCGAAAAGGGGTAGGCCGCACACTATTCCCATGTGGCCACCCTGCATCAAAACATAATTAAAAGTAGATGTTTTTACATTCATAGGCAGTCACTTTTGGGGCCCATATCTCAATCGATCCGAGTTGGATCACATTCAAATTTGGTGAGCGTATTCATCTCATCAAGACGAGCGATTCGATATGTAGTACGCTCCGAGACGATGCCCTAGCAGAGAGAAAAACTAGATAGAAGTAATTGATCTGTGAAGAAAGTTGCAGAAAATTCAGCAGCAGTACGCCCCACTCCGGTGGCCAAATCACGATGCTCGCATGCCCCATCTGTACGAAACCAATTGCATTATGTGCATAAGGTCCAGGGTCGTCTCTAGTCTGGACCTCACGTATGATGAGTGGTTGAATTTCACACATGGAGGTGTCAAAGCTGCTATAAATTCCGGCCTCCGGATTTCAAGATTCCAGTCAAAAACTCAAGACGACCAAATCTTCGTCAGGACATAAAATTGAGCTACGTTTGTTGCAACGTGATCATGATGGTATGCTCAGTGTGATTTAGCAAAGAAATCACGAAGGAACATGAAGGAACGAGCGCACAATCGATCCAAAATTTTCAAGATTTATCCAAAATTTAAGTTTCATGATCATTACTTAAAAACATGATTCATGGCTCGAAGTTTATATCAAATCGATCGCCATGTCGAGCCCCACAAGAAAATAATCATCTTTCGATCAAACAGGCATCAGAACAACCCCAGATCCGTCATGGAAGATCACACAAGTTCTCGGGCAGCAACAGAGATTGTTCTAGAATTCTACACATTGTTAGGCAGGGGTAAAACAGTCTTTTTGCACCTATTTTAGAATTTCTTTTAATT